ACATTATGACGATGTGATAGTGGTTAAAGGTTAGTTGCAAGAGCAGGTCCAACTATGTTTACAATGTGTTTTTGCACCTTGTCTAAAAGAGAAATGCCATCATTGGAAGATGTGCAACAGATATGGCAACAGTATTCCATACAAGGACTAATTTGAGATTTATAGAAAGAAAGAATAGAATTCAGAGAAAAAAGCAGCAAATACGATAAAGAGAAGAAACCTTAGCTAATTTTTAATTCGATATATGGTTTCCAAAAAAGATCCGAAGTGTTAATCCTAATGGATCTAGGAAAGATGACTCATCGAGTACATTACCATTCATAAATATAGGAAGATCTAGGTAAACAAAACCTTTTTACAAACTTTTTTTATATTAATAATACTGAATATATTATGAATATATATGAATGTTGCACATACTATCCTAAAAATAAAATAAATTATAAAATAATAATAATAAACAAATTATAAAAATTAAAGACACATAAAACTATGATATACAATTATGCACTAAACATTTTAAACATAATATTCAACACAAATATAAATGAAGTAATACAATTCAAAAACTGACCGGTGTATGTAGCTCTCATAGCAACAGAGTATGTTATTTGAGCCAAGCGACGCATCATATATGTGTTTGCAAGCTAAAGTTTTTAATGTATTATTTTAAAGCTAGTATAATATAACTTAGAAAAAATATATAGAAAAATAATCAATAAAACCTGATTAACCAAATTTTCATTTGCCAAATACCTAAAACAAAAATGTAGAGTCTAAAAGTAGTATATTTAAAAACAGTCTAAAAAAAAAAGTAAAAATTGAATACTTCAAATAATAAAATAAAATTATATTCTTACCTTGCAATAATGCGAAAAGGCATCATATAATATTTATTTATGTACTAAGGTAAGAATTATTTTATATCAAAAATCATATCAATTAAAATTTAATTTAAGAAAAATTTTTGATTACTTTAAATATGATAATATACATTATAAAATATTAAAACATGATACCATAAAATATAAAATATTTATATTACAAAATTATATTATAATATTCTAAAACATTGTAAAAATAATAACTATTAAATGTACAATCAAATATTAATATATACTTACTCCATTTATTAGAATTTAATATAAAAAACCTTTAGAAACTAATAAATTAATGCATGAAAATTAGTTTTCATGTAAGAATCACGAAACTGTAAGAATAAATCACTAAACTATAAAATATACTATTTCATTTGTAAACCAAAAAATAACAAAATTAAATGCTAATATAATTTTTTTGAAATGGGAGATCTGGAATCTAACACCACAATCTTAGTATTACATTAATCAACCATATGATGTAGTGATCTTTGATATTAAAAAAAATTCTAGAATGAATTGAAAAGTTAAGACAGTTAAAGAGCATTTTTTTTATATGCAAGAAAAAAAAATGCTTGCAACTAGACACAACTGGATAATCTGTTACAGTATCACAGACCATGATGAAAAAAGATGATGAAAATAATTTGATATATCCTTATTTCCAGTAATCAAAATTTTCTAATGCAAACTTCACCATTTTTTTTACACTAAAATTAAACACAATTTTCACTTTCCAAAACATTGTTTTTTGTAATATCTTGATTACGATGTTTTTTACGTGACAAACTTCTATGTCTGCTAAATAGGCTATCAAAGGGCAAATTTTTTGCCAATAAGTCTTGCACTGCAGTTGATAGTTCTTTGTCTTGGTTTGTTATAAAGTTGACAACTAAAGAAGAAGTAAATTTTATTTTAATTACATTTTAAACAATTTTTATTAAAAAAACCAACAAGTAAACTATTTGAAGTCATATACTTACTTTTTCCTTTTTTACCCATTCTGGCTGTTCTGCCTGCTCTATGTAAAATGTCTATAGCATTGGTAGCAAAATCAAACTGAACAACCATATCTAAATCTGGAAAATCAATCCCTCTTGAAATAACGTCTGTAGTAATAATCATAGCTCTATTAGCAAATAAAATCTGACTAAAAACTTCTTCCCTATATTTATTGTCAATATTACTATGAAGAAGTGATATGTTATCGTGCCATACTTCATGAAATAAAGCAAATAATGTGGTGAACTTGGCATCATTTTCTAGTATAGATTCATAATTAATTTTTGAAGTTAGTTTTTTATACAGATTAATAGCAGTTTCAACTTTATTCACAAAAACTAAAACTTTGTAAGGAATATCTTTGTTTTTACAATGCAAGGAAACACATTCAACTAAATGTTTATATTTGTTTCCCTCCAGTACATCAATAAATTCCATTTCTGCTGTAGGGACTACTTTGTGGGCACTTTCACTATGAACAATTTGAATTTCAGGAAGCCATGAACGTATGTATGGTATTGCAGTTTTGCTTTTTGGACTTAAATTATCTGGCATTGTGGCTCCAACAAATACAAATTGTCTTTTAAAATTATTAAACTCTAAAAAGTTGTTTGGTGTATCTAAAGAAATTATTGGTGGTTTATAACTATCTGCTTGATTGAAATGTTTAATGAGGTTAAACAAAGGGTCTTTTTTTCCTGTCTTTCCTACTTTGCTTGCTATTTGAATGTCAGCTTCATCGATGACAACAACTTGTGTTTCATTTAAAACATTTAAGGGATATGTAGATAGATATAATGCAGTACTGACTACAATATCAGTATTAAGCAAATACAGACGCGATTCTTCACATGCAAAACATGTATTTAAAGATAAAAGAGACTGAAATACCTCGCTAACCTAAAAAAAAAAAAAATTTAAGTTATTTATACTAATCTATATAAAAAACATTTCGAAAAAATAATTAGCCAATTAAATTTATTTTAAAATGACATGTAAATTTAAAAAAATTACTTGATGAGCTAAATGTGCATTTGGTACCAATACTAGAGCAAAAGGCCTGGGTACTTTTTTACAAACTTTCTTTAAATTAATCAATTTTTGAGCAATAGGCAATGCATAGGCTAAAAATAATTAACTTATATATATTTTATATATTTTTACAAAAATAAATAATTAATATATGGCTCAAATCATTATATATGGCATTATATAACTAATATATGGCTCAAACCATTTCAACCAGTTTTGAGATAACTTTGTGGGGCACCATCTCTGATTTTCCTGATTTTTACATATCATTATTTACATTATGTAGATAATGATATGTAAAATCATTATCTGCATAATGTAGATAATGCCACATTACATGAGCCTGAGCTCCAAAACACAAGAGGATTTTACTCCTATTTAATAATAAAAAAAAAGAATAAATAAATTATACTGCATTAATTGTTTTGAATTAGCAACTAATTATCAATTAAAAAGTAAAGACCAAACCTAATAATTTAAGTGGTTTCTAACACTTATTAAAAGAAAAAGGTCATGAGGCTTTAAAGTCTGTTTTAAATCTTAAATTGAGGGGGGCTGCTGCGCAGTGTTTATAAAGCTATATTTTCTAAACCGTTGCACTTGGAAGTCTGAAATTTCAAATTTAACCTATCTACATAATGTAGATAATGATATTTAAAAATCAGGAAATTCAGAGATGGTGCCCCACAAGCCATTGGCTGAAATATAATGATTTAACCCATATATTATAATTTTTGCAAAAAAAATTAAATGATATATTATATATTTTTTACAAAAATAGAGAAAATGAAATTATAAAAAAATGTAGAAGCTTTATTTTAAAGGGCAACAATTCATCAAATAAAACACTGAAAAATACTTTGTACTTGATACTGTTTTCAATACGTTATTTAGAATACTAAAGTTATGTGTCATAAATACCTAACTACATAGTAAATTAAACTCAACAGATTCAATATGCAAATTGTGATAAAAAACATGAAACTTTATAAAAAAACACTTTCAAACAATAAAAAAAAAACTTGTCTGCAGACCATAGAGTTTATTAATAGAAAAGAAATAAATTCAAAACAACATAAAAGCTTACTACAGATCAAATATGCTTATTATAGATATTATCAAATATACTGATTAAAGATATTATCACATATACTTAAATGCAACTTAGAAAACTATTCAAGTTATTCTGAGAGAAACAACTAAAAAAAACAAAATTATATTAATTAAAAAAACAACTAAATTATATTGAAACCATTGAAACCAAATTCGAAAATTCAAAAAAATAACATAATTAAATTAATTTAAATTAAATTTAGATTAAAAACAAGTTTTTTGAAATGTATGTACTTAAATGCAACTCATTTAAAAATAAATTTAATATTTATGGCTGTTGTCAATACAAAGCGTTCATATCTAACTAGTGTTAGTGAAACTTGGCTTAAACTAACACGAGTTATGAACATTTCAATAGTTTAATTTAAATAGTATAGTTTAAAAGTATATGTAGCAGTATAAAATTTACAGAAGAGATAGATGTGATCGTCAAAAAAAAGGTAGTGAATATTTTTACAGAAAAAGTTTAAATGATTTATAAAGCTAAACAATATGTGGTTCCATTAGAGCAAAATTGAATAAATCTTGTTTGTCATGATTTTTTGTGAAGCATTTTTGCTTTGGTAAAGATAGCTATTTAGTTAAACAAAACTCAATCACTCGAATCTAGGATTTATATTTAGGATTACTCGACACTAGGATTAATACACCTGCAATACTTTTCTTTATCAGTGTATAAATACTCCAAATTTTCAAATCTCAGTAATGACAACTATAATAAATACAATTTTTATAACTAACCCAGAAATGTATGAGCAACAGATACATAGATAGTTTACACTTACGCACACTTTACATAGTTCAAAATGCAAAAATACAAAATCGTTCTATAAATATATATTAACAATAAGTTAATTCCAAAAGATTCATTAAGAACATTACAAAAATATAATAGGGACATTTCACAAAATTTTCACAACATTTCACAATCTAAAATTACTATTATTTTAAGCAAATACTTCAAAGATGTATTTGTTATTTAAGTCAAAAGTGGTTTTCCTAAATATGAATCCAAGTGCAAAAAAAAAAATTTGTTTTGTTCCACAAAGTTTTCTGATCTATCTATTAAATATATCAGTTATAATGATGTTCTGAACAAGCTTCAGAGTCCTAATGAAAATACAGCTGTTGGACCTGACTGTCACTCTGATATATTAGGAATTAATTAAACTATGACACTCTGACATATTACATAGATCATCCTAGTCATTTTAAAAATACAGAAAATTGTTTTGATAAAATATTTGGAATTTGTTTTCCCTAATTTTCTTTTTAACTTTGATCTTAGCTAAGTTGTTTTTAACTTTTTTTGACACTTTTCATAATTTTTCTATGAGTAATGAGCGAAAAAGCCTAAAAAACAAATATTTTACAAAAATATATACCTAAACTTGCATGTTTTGAAAATGTTTTGGATATCCAGAAAAACCAAAAGTTGAAAAAAATATCCAAAATTCCAAAAATGTTTGAAAAAGATAATCTCTGATATTAGGAGTTCATTAAATTGTCACTCTTGTGACAGTTTAATGTGTAGTGACTTTGATGAATTCAGTGCTAGTGACTTAAATGAATTCTTAATACGTCATATTAAGAATTCATCAAAGTTACTAGCACTTCTGTTAAAATTATTCTTCAAAGAATCATTAGTTTCAAATCAATTTAACTTAGATCTGCAACACCTCTCTTCAAAAATGTTGGCAAAACAATTGCAGCAAATAACAGACTGTTCACCAGTTTCTTATACTTCAGTGGCATGCAAGATATTAGAAGGTAATATTCTGAGCAAAACTGAAACTAAAAAAAAAAAAAAAAATTGCTAACAAATGCCAATATAGATTCATAATTATAATCAAGCCCAATAAATTTATTGGAAGCAATTGACTTAATAACATTATATACTCAAAATCAAACGGCAGTTGACATTGTTCTACTGGATTTGGCAATGGCATTTAACACAGTTGCTTATAACAGATTGTTGTTAAAACTAAAAGCTCATGACATTGATATACAAGTACTGAAATAGATTGCATCTTTTCTCAGAGTTAGGAAACAGAGAGTGATTAAGGGTGACATTGTCTTTGATTGGATTGATGTGTTTAGTGGTGTGCCTAAGGATTTTGTTATTGGACTGTTCTTATGGGTTTTAAAAGGTTAAAGGTCAGTCCTATCCTAAATAAAACACGTAGATAAGATGGACCAGAGTCTCTTTTATACCTTTCCACCAAAAAATGTTTTATAATGTCTTTTTTAATTTTCATCAAATGACAAATTTCGAAGCAATTCTGCCCGACTGTGCGTCAGGTTGTTGATAAAGTATTTGTTATGTTTTTATTAAAGTTTGTTAATTTATCTAAAGCTTTGTATATAGCATTTATATAGATATAGTATTAGGGTGGCTCAGAAAATTAAATAATTTCATATTTTAGAGACACTTGCATTTTTATGTTTTTTTGAAGAACATCCAACAATATTTAGAACTGCCTCATTGACCTTGAAATTTCAGCATTTTCAGTAATTTTAAAGATTATTCTAAAAAATTAAATTTTTTTTTATTAACATAAAAAATATGCAACAAATTTTATATCTTTACAGTAAATTAATAGGAAGTTTTATTTTATTACTTTTCTATTAAAACTGTATAGTTTTCACTGTTCCATGAGTTCAGTTAACTGTTCAGTTACAACCAACATTTAAAAGTAACATTGATTTCTTTGGGAAATCTTCGCCGGTGACTTTCCACCATCTGAAACAAATATTGTTTTTGCTCTTCTTGTTTTGTTATTGTAGAATTTAATGCAGTGGCTAGAGCAATTCCTCTTTCTGCACTATCATTAACAACTTTTAGTGTCTTAACGGTTTTCTTTGTGGCCTGAATATCTGACCAATCCCTTGTGCCACTTTAGGAATTGACAAAAGTTTTTCTGTTCCTAATCCTGAAAATTAAATCTTCACCTCCCATCGCATATTTTCTTCCTGAATGTTGGTCTGCAAGAAATACTTGGTCTTCTTCTATTTTTATCATCTTCAATGCATTGTTGTAAGCAACATCAAAAAGACAACTTACTGAGTTAAAGAAATCTTCTTCTTTTCCTGCTGTGCTGAACCACCACGACTCTTGTTCTTTGAAATATTTCTGAATTTTTCCAATAAAGTTTCAGTTTTACAAACAATACTTCTATGTTTAGTAGTTCTAGCTTTAATTCTTTAACTCTGCCACTAAAATGTGGTCCCAATCAAATAAATGTAAGTTTTTGATCTTGTTTCAGTCATTATTACTGTCTACCAACTACCACTAGGTTTACATTAGTTCTGTAATCTAATCTTTGGTAACTATAAGTAAATAAATAAAGTCGGCAAACTATTGCTAACCTCATTTTTCCTAATTCCGAGAGTTGTATATATATATATATATATATATATATATATATATATATATATATATATATATATATATATATATATATATATATATATATATATATATATATATATATATATATATATATATATATATATATATATATATATCTGTGTGTGTGTGTGTGTGTGTGTGTGTATGTGTATAAACATACATATACACATATATAAACAATGTGACCAAATCATACCGAGTGTTTTTCCACTTCCAGTTTCAGAATTAATTACTATATTTTTACCACTCTGAAACTCTTGGAAAGTCTAAAACAAATAATATTAAATCGTTATAGATATGATATCTAGTCAACTATCTATAGAGTAGAACAGGCAATATTTGTAAGACCTATTCCCACTACTTCCCCACAAGTAAAATGAGCCAGAACAAAACAAGTAAGTAATAAAAAAAAAAGCATAAAAAGAACTGAAAATTACATATACATACATATATACCAGGCTTTCACAGGAAGGTGTACGATTTCATGTCTTTATATGACCACGCAAAAAATATGTTTTAACAATTTGACCACGGTTTCTAACATATTTTCAAAATTTAAAAATGCGCTACAAAAACTTACCTACACTTATCTAAAAAAAGTCTTATCTTTGTTTTCAACATTTGTATATATTTTTTATTTATTTAATATGTTTTAAAAGTTAAACATTTTTCGTAAAAAAATAATACATAATTATATATATTAAAAAAACAAACATTTTATTACTACTTTTTTTTAAAATTAATCAGAAGTGCTTTTTTACTTCATTAAAAAGTGTTTCGATAATATAAAAGCATTTAAGATCAAACTTGTAACAGCTTTTTAAAACTTAAGATCAAAATTGTAACAGCTTTTAAAAACTTTTTTTCTTTAACAAAATTTTATTTTTTGAAATGCATTAACTTAAAAAAAAAAAACATTTTCAGTAAATGGTTACTTTATTTATAATTGTTTCGCTAATATAAAAACAATTGTTTAGAAGTTTTGATGTAATTCATTTCACTTTTTTAAAATATTTTTCATTTGGCACGTTTTTAAAACGCGTTTTAAATTGGCTGCGGTCAAACCATCATTGCAAAATGTAATTTTCGTGGTCATAAAAAGACGTGAAATCGCACGTCTTCCTGTCCAAGAGCGATTTTGCGTGTAGCTAGGGCTATTTGTGTCTAGCAAAAAATTTTTTGTTTGAGTATATTTAAAGATATTTTTGAGCGGAATTTTAATGAAGTAATTTACGATTATTTTAACATTTAATAAAGAATTTTGAAAACCGCATGCAGTTGATATAAAAGTTTGAATTGAAAAAAATTAAATATGCTCATTATTTACAAGTAGAAAAAATTCAGATTAAAAAAAAAGTTTAAATCTTTTAAGCTAACATTTTAATAAAATTATTCAGCAATAGCAAAGTTGTCGATAAAATTGAACAAAAATACTTTCTTTTAGTTTTAGATTTTAAACTTAAATAATTATTTTACGGGGGTTTGTTAGCTTTTAAAATTATTCCACAGATTTAAAAATATTTATTAACTGTTAGACATATTTAAAGTATTTAAGAGTAATTTCGAGGAAACATTTTAAAAATTGGTGAGCGCAAATAAAAAAAAAAAGGATTAATATTAAAACGTATTTTACTTGATTCAATAAAAAAGTACAGTTATTAAAATTTTTGTAAAAAGTAACTCAAAAAAATTACTTAAATAATAACGATCGCTTTTATGTTAAAAGTTACCGAAACTCAACGAAGCGTGCTCAAGAACAGCTGTTGAATAATTTTTTTGCTGAAATATTTCTTTTATACCTATAAGATTTTTATTCTAACATTTTATTTTATTTTACAAAAAATAAAATTCCTTGTTAACATTAAAAATCTATTCAAAACGTTCGTTTAAGTTTTTTATTAATACGAGTGATTGTGCTTATCAACCGCTTTATGAAAATAAATAAAAATAAATAAATATTATATAAAATCGCTTGTAAAAATATTAGCTATTGCACAGTTTTTAATCGTACAATATTAAAATTTCCAGTTTATTACTCGCTGACTTTTTAAAAAGAAAAAATATTTGAAAAACTTTAAATTACATATTTAAGAAAAAAAAATCAAATATTAGCATATTTTATAATCTTTTTTAAATTTAAGTTATAATGTTTTTTATATGTTTAGTAAAGACAAAACGTGTCAAACGTCGAGGAAATAAGCAAATGTTTTTACATTTTAACAAGCTAAACATTCCAAAACATTTTTAAATAATAAGATTTCTACATTAATGATTTAAAGTAGTTTTGCGGTAATTAAGTAAATTGGTGCAGTTAATGTCAAAAAATATGAAAAGCAAATAAAAAGAATTTAATGACGTCAAAAATCACGTTGTGCTTATGCATATATATTTTTTTGTTGATAACATGGCCACGATTTTTTTTTGCATTTATTAAAAATGACGCATTTAAAAAACGCGCTGAAAAAAATAAATTTATTGCTCATCTTTTTTTTATTATTATTAATAATTCATTATTATAGTTATTAATGGGAAAATAAAAACATTAAAATAACATATGGGTAATTCCATTTTTAACTTACGTTACACGCGCAACAACTTTATCAAATATTTGCTTATTTAAACTTTTAAATTAAACTTTTAGCAATTTTGTATGAAAGCTGTTAGTCTAATAAATAAAATAAGCTTAAAAGTTTTGAGTTTAGCCAAGAGAGCAAACTTATTACAGAAAATGCCACTTTCACTTATGTTACACGGAAAACAAGGCAAAAAAACTGATTCAACTTATAGGTCTCATTTCTGCAAATCAGTAAACCAGTTTGTATTAGAAACCTTTACAAAATACAGAGAATTCTATACCAATTTAAAATTTTTATAAAATTTTTTTTTTAAATAACTTGTTTTTTTGATACTGTACTTTTTACATAAGTTACATCACTTACATTATCGAGTGGTTATTATGATTTTTTTTATCTATTATTAAGAGTTAGAGTTGCATAACAAAAGAACTGCATAAGTATTGAACTCATTCATTAAAAATAATTAACAAAGAAATTTTTAAAACTGGTGGCACTCTTCCTGAGTGATTTTTCATAACATTCATGAAAATAATCAAACCAAAAACAGTTTTTTTGCAAGACTAAGAGCAACTTCAGAAAAATATTTTAGTTTTACATCTTTTTTATTACTTAATTGAGTCATTGGTTTGTCGAATTTTTACTTGCGTATTGCTTTATTTTTATAAGATTGAATTTTTAAAATGCTGGTAAGTATTCACATTTAAATCTTTTATAAACATCTATATGTCAACCAAAATAATAGTACATAAACAAACAAAAAAACAACAACAATAAAATAAATAATTTTAAAACATACAAAAAAAAAATGTTTTTTTTTAATTCTCCTTATATAAAAAGTTTCAGTTAAAACCTTGTCAAGCCAACAGGAAGAAATAATAATTACTTAATGACGTAATTCATTCAGTAAACAAAAACTTAACGAAAAATCGCCAGAATTTTATTAAATGCATGAAAACAAATAAAAATATATATACATTTATATATTATTTTTATCTTTTTATATTGTCATTAATTAAATATATATATATATATGTGCATTATTGTTGGGTTTTTATTTTCTCATAAATAATTATAATAATAAATTATTAATAATTAAAAAAAATCAATAAGATGACTAATTAGTTTGATTTTTTCAGCGCGTTTTTAAAATGCGTAATTTTTAATATATGCAAAAAAATTTGTGGCCATGTTATCAACAAAAAAAATATATATGCATGGTCATTTAAGGCAAGCGGCCGCACGCCTTTAATGAGAAGGCCTGATATATATATATATATATATATATATATATATATATATATATATATATATATATATATATATATATATATATATATATATATATATATATATATATATATATCAACGCTTGGAATTAAAAAAAATTAGGTTGGCAATAATTTGCCAACCTCATTCTTTTTAAGGTCACCATCAGGTCGGCAAAAATTATTTGATACAAATGTCTTATCATAAAACATAGAAACATATACATATATATATATATATATATATATAAATATATATATACATATATATATATATATATATATATATATATATATATGTATATATATATATATATATATATATATATATATATATATATATATATATATATATATATATATATATATATATATATATATATATATATATACTTACTAAAGCGTGTTTTGATAAGCATTTGCTCACTTTTTCTGCTTACCTTAGGCTATACTGTTTTTTTCGAAAAAGAAGAAGAAAAAACAAAGAATAATGAATGAAACGATTGCTTCCCCATCCCAAAACCTCAGTCGATGTAGCAGCACCCCACTGCGAGTCAGGCTATTTGTCAGTCGATGTATGTACTGAACCCCCCAGCAGCAGGCTATTTCAGTATGACGTCAGATTGCTTACCTTAGTATGCAATACTATTTGTATGTATATATATATATATATATATATATATATATATATATATATATATATATATATATATATATATATATGTATATATATATATATATATATATATATATATATATATATATATATATATATATATATATATATATATATATATATGTATATATATATATATATATATATATATATATATATATATATATATATATATATATATATATATATATATATATATATATATATATATATATATATAGTATCCCAGCTGACCCTGTAAAAAAATAAATGAACTGTGGTTTGAAAGCAACTAAAAAGTTAGTTTTAAAGTAAATACTTTACTAAAAAAGGTAATAAAATGCGAGAGAGAGCAGGGACCATGAGCCATGTGAACTAGAGCTGTAGTTTTTGTAATTTTCTCTTTGTAATGAATAATAGAATTTTCTCTTTATCATGAAAATGGAATTTTCCACAAAACAATCAATTATTATATATTAATTTATCCTATGCCAATGGTCATTCTTTGTATATTAGCCATGTTTCATGAGAATGAACTATCTATACTATTTGTTTTTTAATTAATGCTGTTTTACTTCATACTTTTAAAAATATTATTGTTACTCTAATTTTGAATGTTATAATGTTAAACACATAGCTTAGTACATTTTACTGGAGCTATGAAATTATACAAGATGCAGTAAGAGCATTGGTTTTTAATAAACTGTGCTTTCCTATATTAAAAGAGACGTTTACTTTGTGTTGGTAGTTTTAAAATTTTGTTGCAAAACAGATTTTTAAAACAGATAACTATGTTTACTGAACAATATGGCTTGAATTTTGATTAAGGCATACATAGTGTTGCCTTTTTAATTAGTTGAAGATCAGTAATAATTTTCGAAAAAAATTTTGCAATGCAAATTGTTGTTGTAACAGCAATCATATACACATCATTTTTCATTTTAAATCAAGCTTTATTCATGGGTTTTAACTGTTGATATTTAAATACATCTTTTGCTGGTTAACAATAACTCCTGAAACCAGTTTATTTAAAAAAAAGTTTATTTTTTATTCAACGAAAAAAAGTTTTAAAGCTTATAAAAAAATTAAAGTTTATTTTATTTTTTCAACTTGTAATATGTGTATATATACATACATACAAACACACACACACACACACACACACACACACACACACACACACACACACACACACACACACACACACACACACACACAAACACACACACACACACAAAAACACATACACACACACAAACACATAACAATATTTACTATCAATTTATTATGCTGACCTGAATTTGTATATTAGTTGGAGACTTTATTCCAAATTCTCTTAGCTTTCTGATAATAGAAACGTTAATTTTAAGTTCGTGAAAAGAATGATTTTGTCTTATGTAAATATATAACATTCGACTTATTAATAACATATTTCTAGCATGCTTAAAAACTATAGGAGTCATTTTTAAATTGACTATCAATCTTTTTAATTTTCGACGTCGTTGTTTAACTTTATATGTATCTATATATATGTATATCTTTAACATCAATTAACATAATCGCCGATTTTGATCGTTTAAATAATTGAACTTGCCGTTTCGAAAAGGTCCCAAGTCTTAAACTTTTAACAGTTAGTTTATGAATCTAAATTAAAAATTTCTGTATGATTTAAGTTTTTTTTATAAAAAATAAAAACTACATAAGTTATATACGTTCTTTATTTATCTTCTCCTATCATTAATTTCTTTAGTAGCGTAGACATTTTTTTTTTAATAAAAATCATTTTTTTTGTTGATTTTGAAAAGTTTTAACAAATGGACTTGTGTCTTTTTCGAAATGACAGGTTCAATTATAATAGTTATGAAAAACAAATAGTAATTACAAACAAATATAAAAAGGAGTTTAACTATTTCAAATTCACAAGTTTTCACAAAAATTTACTAGTCCCTTCAAACATGTTTAACGATGAGAGATGTATTGAAATTACTGTTCATTTAGTACGACATTACTTAAACTATATATCTTATATAATATTAAACTTAATAACAAAAGAATTCAAATAGTTTTTTTATGTAATTTGTATCACATTAATTATATTATTTTGAAATATAATTTTTTGGTGTTTTGAGACTTCCAGACATCGTGCATATTCCAAACATTTGCATGTTTATACTTAAGTCAAATAATGATGCTTTGCAAAAAGTTGTAATGATTTGAGTCTGGGGAAAAAAAAGCCTTAATTTCATCTTTTCCCCACCCCAAATGTGAGAGGCAACAAGTTTATAAAAAGATTTTGTACTATTCTCAACTAGACTTGAATTCGTTGATAAATTTTGATATATAGATACAGTTTTATAGTATTATCTCTCAGCGTTGAAAGAGTATAACCATAAGTTTAAACCCCCCTCAATTTAAAGGGTTTTAAATATATGGTTAAGTTTTAGGTTAAAAAGAAAGTACGCAACATAGTTATTATGCAATTTCATAACCTTATTGGAACAATAATATAGGAACGCGATTATACGGATTTTGTATTTAGGAATTGTCCGTAAAGTACGTACACTCAGATGGGTTAGAGGGTCTGCAAATGGCGTTAATGAGCTGGCGGCAGGTGGTCAATTATAAAATTGAGGAGACACTAATTAAAATATAAAATGTCATAAAATATCGGGTAGGAGGTTAAAAGAGCAGGTACTTTAAGGGAGGTGGAGGATACTCAAAAAGCTTAAACAAAATGTGGGGGAAGGGAAATAGTGTCGAAATAGAAGCGTACGTACTTTATAGACGACTCCTTAACATGAAAATATAATAGCAGTATCATATATATAAAAAGGTATCAAATATAAGTGTATAAGTAAAGAAAATATAAATGTATTTGTAAAGAAAATATAAATGCAAATATAAAGTATCAAATATAAATATAACAAAGTATCAAATGCAAATTTCTTATATTGTAAAAATAATAGGTGATAAATATCCACTCCAATTTAAAGCTTACAAAGCACTTTAAGTAATCTCAATTTTGTACTTAGGTAATCAAAACAGGGTTTAAACTTACCTTCTTAAGTAGATGTTGGATATGTTTGAACTTAAGGTAGATGTTGAATAGGGTTTGATTTAACCTTCAGTTTTAAAATTCGTTGTGATGAACAGAACCTTCTATCAGTATGTTACTTCTTTAAAACGTTATTTAGTGAATAAGGCGCTTTTTTTTTAATTTATGTTGCTGTATAGTATAATTACAATAAAACATACAAAATAAATAATCAGAGTAAGATGCAAGAGTAAGACGTCTTTTCGCTTCTTTTACATTTCGCCATATCACATTATATTAGTATATATGGTAATGTAATTTTTAAAATTATTTTTAAATAGTAATATTATATATACTTTGTTAATATTACTACTAAAAAACTAAAAAAACAAAAAGTTAAAAAAAAAAGAATTAAGTAAAGTAAGTTACAATACTATTCCACTCATATATTACAAACGCTAAAAACATTTAATAAACAGTATAATTAGATATTAAAAATAAGTAAAACTAATAAAACAAAAAAAAATAAAAATTAATTATAACATAAAACATTTATTGAAATATAAAATAAAAGTCAGATGATCAAGATGAAAATAAGTAGTGATGACTTTTTCATTTTAGTTATTTTAGTTTTTGAACTTATTTTAAAAGAAATATTTAAACTCGAAGCTTTTTCCTAATTAGAAACGTTTAGATTCTCTTTTAAATTTTTTTAAAGAGAAGTTTAAAAGAGTTTTTATTTTAGCTATATTTAGAAATAAATTTTTCATAGTAATGGTCCACGGTTATTGAGTTTGATTTGAACTGAGTATTAAATAAGATCTTGGAATAAAAAAAAATATCATTTTTAAATTTCTTATAAATACGTGTATTTATAAGAAACTTTGGTAATGTTACATAGTTAATCTAAATCGTTGAATAGTTAAAAAAATTTCATGACTTGTGACATATTTTGTCACTAGTGTCATGCACCGACCCAGTCTTGGTACAGATAAGTTTTTTCACAATTAGTGTTTATTAAAAAGATTCTTACGACTAGTAGCACTAAGCGTCTATTCATGAAAAAGTCAACAGAATTTTTGAGACCAATAGAGTGTCAATAGAGTTTTTTCAATCAATGCCAACAGATCTTTTTATAATTAGTGTCTTTGAGTATAGTCACCAAGAGTTATTTGCTACTAATGTCAGCAGAAAATTTTTATATGACCTGTACCACCAATGCACAGTTTATAGAAAAATTTTCCGGTTTAAAAAAATTATTCCGACTAACGCCGGCGCAGTCTAGTCACCGAGAGATTTCCATGATCAGCATCTTTGAGTCTTATCACTGTGAACATTCTTTATCAACCTAGATTGATAAAGGTTGAGCTGAGATTTACTTTTAACAAATGGTTGACATTTTAATTAAAAAAATAAAAACAATATTTGTTTTGTCAGATAAAAATGAATCTCGTATTCAATTTCATCTATTCAGGAAGGTAGCTGATCTCAACATCATGCTAATCCTGATTCCCCCAAACTGCAACCACGTCATGCAGCCTCTTGATGTAAGGTTATTTGGACATATGAAGGGAGCATGGTTAAAGGTGGAAAAGGGTTTTAAAGCAAAATATAATTCCGTTACTAAGGAAACATTTATTAGTCTTTTTATACGATCAATAACTGAAGTGAAAATTGATAGAGTTTTCAATAAATGTGGATTACAGCCGTTTAATCATAATGCTATTGAAAACGCAAAGTTAATCTTGCAAGAAGAACATAATGGAATGAGCACCTTTTAGAGGGTAATAATCATGGTTGCTTTGTTGAAGCTTCAACCTAAGTAGAACCAATATTATACTTTAATAAAAGTACTCAGTTTAAGCCAAGTGAGAAACTAACTCTACAATATAGGATTGGGACAAATTATATAATAAGTTAAACTTTGAACAACTTTCAGTAACTTTTGTAACATTTTTTTACATCTAAAGCAGTGACGGATCCAAGAAAAGGAGGGGGATGGGGTTATGGATTTTTCCTTCATCCATCAGAATCTAAAAGTCCTAAAATATCTTGAAAATGAGAACATTTTGTTATGACACGCAAATGTGGTACAAATTACAAAAATATTTTAACATTCTCCCCCCCCCTCCCACAAAAATTTTCTGGATCTGGATTAAAAAGCTTAATTGACTTTGTATTGAATTATCCCAGATATAAAGTGCTTAAATCAAGCAAACGAAGTTTAACTTTGTGTTTAAACAAAATAGGTGTTTGGAGCATCAACCAGCACATCCAAGTTCTCCCAAGAGCCAACTTCTCGTTAGTGGAATTGTTTGAATTCTTATTCTCAAAATTCAACAACGAACATTATTTTAATAAATAATGTTTTTTAGGTTAATAATTTTTTGTTCGTCTTATTTTAATATCCTACAGCAAACACGGTACACTTACGTATACGTTTTTGTATGGTCTTATGAAGATTAGGACTTAAAATTATGTTGTATTTTAATTTCTGTATCATGTCTAATTGTTTTTTATGATTGCATCCTCATAGGCCTAAAAAATAGAAAAAAGGTGCTAATTTTACGAGCCTTTAGTAAAACTTACATTTTTCAAACACTCTGCGCCCCCACTAGATAAAAATTTCGAGAAAAAAAAAGTTATTCACATCTCTTCTAATATCCTAATAAATAAAAAAATATTGCGCGCGCTCCCATATCCAAAATTTTAAAAGTATGACCCACCCTACTGGACAATAAACCACAAATATTCACTGAAACGATATTTTTACTAAAACATAAAAAAGGTAATTATTCAAAGGATACCGTTACATAGTTTTAATCATTAGTTGTTGTAATTATTCAACAAAATCTTTACTAAAACTCGTTAATTAATTTTAAAAGCATGTTAGTTTAAGCTTCTTTTTTTGCTTCGAATCATAAGACGACATTTGATTAAAAGGCAACTAAAACTGCTTTTAAAAAGTCAAAAAAAAATTTCTAAATTAACAAAACTTTATTAGTTTTATACAGAGGCAATATTTAGGGTGTGGGGGTGTGGGGGTGTGGGTTAAGTGTAATCTCGCAGCGTTCAAAAATTATGACCATACAAAATTTGTAACCTTCTCAAATTGAGGGGGTTTAAACTTTATATAGTCATTTTTTGACCGATACAATATTTTACTATGAAATTTAAAATCTATCGATACATATATGTCTAATTAAGAATAATATAAAAATTATTTTATCTCATTGTTGCTCTCACGTTTGGAGCATGGAAGGGGAGCAAAAATTATGACGCTTTATTATTCTTAGGCTTCGCTCATTGCAATTTTTTGCCAAGTATCTTTATTTGGCATAAGTATAAACTTATAAATGTTTGGAATTTGCTCCATGTCTGGAAGTTAGTTATCTCGAAGACTAAGAAATGCTTGATCCGCCCGTGGTATGTACATGCATACAAATATGTTATGTTTATGTTATACTGCATGCTTTATAACACAACTAACTATATTGAAAAATATAACAAGTCATGAAAAAAAATAGTTATGAGTATCTCATGAAATTAATAAAAAAAAAGAATTCGCGCTGACAAGACTTCACACAGTTTTCTGCGAATTTGCTTTGAATACATAACTAAAAGTTTATTTTTTTAGACTTATCTTATTTTTTTAGACTTATCTTATTTTTTTAGACTGATCTTATTTTCTCAAATTTTAATCGTAATACTGTTTTACTTTATTAAATAAATTTGTACTTATATCTCTTAATATTATTCTTATATCTCTTAATATTATTAATTTTTACTTATATCTCTTAATATTATTTCAATTATTTTAGAAGTATTTTAAATGTATTTGTAATAAAAGTATATTGTTAAAACATAAAAATACAATATATATAAATATCTTTATATTTTATGTTATATATTATTTTCGTATATTTTTTAAAACTGCATAGTTTTTACAAGTTTTAACAACATATACTGATTGAAGTTCATGAGATTGTACAATATGTGTCACAATAGTTCTATAACTACTTTTGTGGAACATATAAATCAATTAAATAAATATATTTTTATGACCATGTTTGGTCAAATTTATTTAATAGAATAGTATGTATCACAAAAGTAATTATTGAACAATTGTGGCACATACTGTACCAGCTCATGAGCTTCAATCAGCTGTGTTCATCAAGTCTTATGTTGTACACTTTATACATAATAAAATATAGTAAAAATTCCTCAAATGCGAGCATATAATTCTTGCTAGTGGTCGCATTTGGATCTATAGGCTAAGGCTAAACGATTTAGAATTAATAAAAAAACGAGTGAGAAATGAATATTTATATATTGGGCTTTTTTGGTCCAAAAAATAGCGAGCACTGGGTGTTATACCTTATTCTAAATTCTTTTTTTTTAAGACAGCTTGGATTTTATCTTTGCGAGTAAAATGTTGCAACAAATTAATTATTATTAGGGATATCACCCCCCATTATTAAATATAGACAATAGAAATAAATTTTTTAAATAATCTAACAAACATTCTATTAAAAACAGAAATTTTACAAAAAAAAAAAAATTCGGTCAACGGGTATTACATATACCCTAAAAAAAACCTAAAAATAAGTAAAAAATAGGATTTGCGCCGGTCAAAATTTAGCAAAAACTAATAAAAAAGACAAAGCGAAATTTTGGTAACACATTTAGAATAGGTGCATGAGTGTTTTAAATGGAACAGATTTTTTAAAAAAAGCTTTCGGTCTGAGGACCTCTCCACCAAAGTTGATATCAGAAAAAAGATCATTTTATTAAAATATAAAATAGCCATACTCTTTTTTTACTTGATTTATTAAAATTCTGTTCCACTTAAAACACAGCTCTTATTGAAATGAAGATATGCTGAAAACAATGACGTATAATATAACTAGATGCATGAATTTAATTAAAAAATGAAGCCGACGTCCGCCATCTTGCAGTACGGCAAAAAACTTGAATTCTGAAAGAGCAACATAGGGATATAAGCTTCGTATTACCTAACCTTAGTTTTTAGAAAGGTTTTAACAGTTTAATTTCTAAGAACCATTATTACTTGTTGAAAAATTGCAGAGATATGGTTATTTTGTGCTGTGCATATGGTTGCACAAATCGGCAAAAACTAAAACAAGGCGTGTCGTTTCACAGGTATGTTGAAACACTTGTACTTACTATACTAATAATACACTTATACTTAAAGTGTATTACTGTCATTAGTTGTATAAGTTATTGTTAGGCATATTTTTAATTGTGTATTATTGGTTTTATATTATGTATTATTTTATATTGTTTTGTTATTAGTGTATTACTATTATAGTAATAGTTATATTTAACAAAAAAAGTTGGCACCAGCAATTATACCTCACTTGTATAGAAAACTGTTATAAAGCTTAATAAATTGTATAATAGCACAATAATTATTTATATATGTTATATAACAGGTTTTAATACTAGGTATAATTGTATAAGGTATAATTGCTATAGAAGTGAGGTATAATTACAATACAATGTACTACACAGTTGTTTTTTAGCAATTGTTAAACTGAATATTTACATGCTTCATATTATTTTTAGGTTTCCATTAAAAGATGAAAATAGAAGCAAGTTGTGGCTAGTTGCACTGAAATGATATAAGTTTATTCCTAAAAAACATCATTATGTCTGTAGTGAACATTTTCTTACAGAAGATTTTCTAATACGTCCTGGATATGAAATAAAGAAATTGCGTCCCAATGCCATACCCTCTGTTTTTAATTTTCCAAAGCATTTACTTCATGAAAAGAATCATCGTAAGTTACCAAAAAAAAAAGAATTGTGCAAGAAATAATTCAGACCAGTAATGCTTGCTCATCAGGTGACAATAATATACATGAACCAGAACATAAGAAACAGCTTATTGAATCACAAAACGAACAGCTTCTGAAAAAAAAAGTGTTTACAACAAAAATTGCGTCGCAAATCAAGGAAGAATAATAATTTATCTCAGGTTATTAAACCTTTTAAAGACAAAAAATGGATTTGTAAATACGCAGCAAATTTTTTAAATGAAAATTTTTCAGGATTTACAGCTAATATGTTTACAAATGAAATTAAAAATTTAAAAAGAGATCCAACAGGCAACGATATTCAGAAGAAGTTAAAAAGTTTGCTTTAACTGTTCAGTTTTATTAAACTCGTGCTTACGAATATTTGCGTACAGTTTTTAAGTTGCCTGCACCAAGTTTATTGTCAAATTGGACATCATCTGTGAATTTTAACCCTGGTTTTAATAATGTTGTGTTTGCTGAATTGAAAGTGCGTGCTGAAAATGATGTAATGTATCGAGATGCAGCTTTAATAATGGATTCTATGCATATTAAAACACATACAATCTATAATGAACAACCTGGCAAATTTATTGGGTTTGTAGATTATGGAGGAATAAGTGTGGAATCTGATGATAATATCGCAACTGAAGCGCTTGTATTTTTTGCTTGTTGGTTTGCAAAGTTATTAGAAATATCCACTTGGTTATGTACTTATTCATAGGTTGACAGGACATAATTTAAAAGCATTGGTTCAGACTTGCTTGCAAAAGTGTGAATCAAGAAACATTAGAGTTTACACTTTGACGTGTGATGGAAGTCCAGTGAATATGGATTGCTTACAACAATTGGGTTGTAAATTTACTCCGAGATTTATAATACATCTTTTAACAGGCCTGTTTATGCTATATGAGATGCATGCCATATGCTTTGACATTGGAGGCCTTGCGATAAAGCGTCGGGTGATGTGAATTTTACGTCGTCCAAGAGCGATTTTGCGTGTAGCTGTAGTTAGGCTATTTGCGTAGAGCAAAAAAATTTTTGTTTGAGCATATTTAAAGATATTTTTGAGCGGAATTTTAATGAAGTAATTTACGATTATTTTAACATTTAATAAAGTATTTTAAAAACCGCACGCAGTTGATATAAAAGTTTGAATGGACCTTTCCCATAAATCGGCAAAAACGCAATGCATTGTGGTAGTTATATTCATTTAAATCAAAACAAATGTCGAAAAACCAAATAAATTTTAACAGTGATGTTCAATTATGTGAAAACAGTGAGATCGAACTTTGTGAAAACAGTGAAATTGAACTTTATGAAAACAGTGAAGATGATAGTGAAATTACTGAAGGTGAACTCACTTTTAACGGAGAAGTTGAACCTTGTGAAAACAGTGAACAAAATTCGATCTCACTGAGGGTGGATGTACTTGTTGTGTACCAAACTGTTTTAATAATTCTAAGCGTAATAAAAACTTATCATTTTATATTATACCCAAGGAAAAAGTGTTAAGAAAGTTATGGTTAGCCAAAATTAGCAGAAAAGACTTCACTCCTTCTTCTTCACACAGAGTTTGTTCAGCACACTTTCATGGGAACAAAAAAACTTATATGAATAATGTTCCAACAATTATTCCTAAAACAGTTAAACTAACTGCTCATGTACCAAGGAAAACCGAAAATAGCCTTGGTTTATTACATAAAACAACACAAATACCTTATAGTGAAGAACTGTCGACACCTGTTTTAAGCTACAATGAAAAATTAAAACAAGAAAATAAAATTCTAAAAGATCAAATTGAGGACATTATAAAAGAAAAACAAGCGTTAGTAAACACTCAAAAAGAAGCTATACGTAAGCTCAATGACAAAATACTTCTATCACAATTTACAGTTAAAAGGTTTAAACATAACAAAGAACATTTCAAATTTTACACAGGTTTTGAAAATTTTGAACTATTTAAAGTAGTCGTGAAGTTTTTAGAACCATAAACATATTGACTAAATTATTGGGGTTCAATGTCTACTATTGCTGACAATTTATCTGAAACTTCTTCATCTAAAACAAAAGGAAGATCACGTATATTAAATGTTGAAGAGGAATTTTTTATGGTGCTAATTCGACTACGTTGCGCCTTTCCTATAGAAGATTTAGCAATACGGTTTAATATTTCATCAAGCACTACCAGTAGGATAATAATTACTTGGTATGATTTTTTGCACATAAAATTTAGATCAATTCCAATATGGCCAACAAAAGTACTAGTTAATGAAACAATGCCTAGTTGCTTTAAAGATGTATACCCTAATACTCGTGTAATTATAGGCTGTACAGAAATATTTACTGTGATGCCAACTAGCTATCGCACTCAATCAGCAATGTTCTCAAAATATAAACATCATCACACAGCAAAAGGTTTGATTGGTATTGCACCGAGTGGTGCCATTACTAAACAAAAGTTAGTCGTTGTTCTCAATTATAATTATATCTTAAACAATGTTAGTTTCTAAATGAAATAACAATAAGTTTAAACAACAACAATATAGAACAATATAAAAACAATATAAAAACAAGAAATGAATAATGTCACTATTTCTACATCCCCTTCCATGTTTTTAAGTGTCAATGAATATAAACATAATTTCTGGGTTCATTTCTTAAAGTCATTTAATGTCAAAGATTTCCCGGTTTCTGGTTGGTAGAATTTTTTGGGGATACGTAGCCTGGATGAACGTTTCAATGGTTGATCTCCTACGATTTCAGTATTTAATAAAGGTGGCATCGCTAGATGCGGCGAGCTTGTTGATAAAGATGCTGGCATCAACGGTAAGGGTACTGGAGTTGTTGGTAGAGGTAGTGGTGGTACTGCTGGTGCTAATGTAGAAGACGGTAGCAATACTGTAGATGGTGCTAGTTCCGGTTGGGATGGTATGACTTTGTTGCTACTTTCTGGGACATACTCTGTAAATGGTGTTGGCAAATCGGCAGAGTTATAGTGACTAGAGCTTGTTCTTGGTGGTGTAGTCAATGCAACTTCGGTTTCGTATGACTTTAGTGGGTTGAGGAATTTGCGCAAATATTTTCTATTTCTTAATGTTAGTCGACCTGTTCCTTCAACCTTAATGATGTATTGGTCATTTTCCTTACATTCAACAACTTTTCCACTACGATCCCATTTTTTAGGGTGGTTCCCTACTTGATTTTGTATGAAGACACTGTCTCCTTCATGTAGTGGTGTGAGAAAACGTGTGTGTTCTTGAAGTGATTCAAGGGTCTTTGCATATCTTGTTCGTAATGCTTCTTCTTTTGCAGACCATGCATGTCTCCACGTTTTCAAGAATTGGTCGTTATTAAACATAGGTATTCTGGATTTTATCCTGGGCATGGCGTCGTGAATGGGATGGCCAAATAATACTTGAGCGGGGGATAACTGACAAGTAGGGTCTGGTGTGTTTCTTATTGTAAGCATTGCCCTTACAAAAGCGTTATTATTGAGATCACCATTTGGTCCCACATTATTTTCGAGGAGGCGTTTTGTTGACTTAACTGCAAGCTCAGCTCTTCCATTAGATTGTGGGTGGTGGGCTGATGAAATGCGATGAGTTATGCCCCATTGTTGTAGAAATTCTTTTGTTTCTCCAGAGGTGAATTGAGGGCCACCGTCGGTTGAAATTTCTTCTGGGACTCCAAATGTTGTAAATAGTTTACGTAAGCATGTGATAAGACCTTTTGCACCCATTTCTGATGTTCCTGATTTTATTCTGTAGGCTTCGGTCCATCCAGAAAGTCTATCTCCAATGACCAGATAATCCCAGCCATGGAATTCAAAATAGTCAGCAAATATGCATTCAAATGGTGTCACAGGGATGTGAGGTCGGATGGGTGGTAATCGTGCATTAGAAGGTGCATTTCGATTACAGCTGCAACAGTTATCACGCTTACTTTGTATGCTGTGAGTGATACCTGGCCAGAAAACAGTGGCTTGAGCTCTGGCTGTCATTCCCGATACTCCTTGGTGGGCTGAGTGTAGTACGTCCAATATCTCTTTCCGTAGAGTAGGTGGGATTACAATTCTGTCATTGTATATTATAACCCCGTCGGACACCATCAAGTCATTGCGGTATTCCCAGAACGGTAAAAGATTTGGTATGAAGTTGTTCTTATTTTTTGGGAACCCGTTTTCTATTGCTAACATTAATGCTTTAAAATCGGTATCCTTTTCTGTCTCTGCTTTGACACTATCCCATGTTACTGCAATCATTTTATCTATGTCGTTTCGTATCGAGGCTATTATTAGTGATTCTGTGTTGTCAAAATCAGTATTTTGATTGCAAGTGGCTGAATTATCAGATTCCTTTGTGTTCTCTGCAGGGTAACGAGAAGTAGCATCTGCTGCCAGGTTAGTTTTTCCTGGTTGATGTTGGATGGTAAATTTCCATGGCAAAGTTCTCTGTTTTAGTCGGAAAAGTCGTGTGTTAGCAATTTCATCTAAGGTCCTATCTCCTAATAATTTGACAAGTGGTTTATGATCAGTTACTACCATAAGGTTATCACAACCTTGTGTGAAATATTTAGTCTGCTCCAGGCTCCATGCCACTGCTAGCATTTCGCCCTCAACTGGTGCATATCGTTGTTCAGCAGATGACAGGAATCTGGACCCTGCTAGGGTTATTTTCCATCCGTCTATACAGCAATCTGGGGAGTCCGATTTACATTCACAATGTTTTTGGCTTAGGTAATATCCTATCCCCAATTTTGACCAGTCGCATCTTAAACAGGTCTTCTTGGTAATGTCAAATATTTGGACTCCATCTTTAATTGCATTGATAATTTTTTCCTTTGACACGTTGAATAAAGTGTTGAGTTCGTCCGACCAATAAAATTTTGATTTAGGGCTAAGCAGAACTCTGAATGGGGCCATAGTTTCTCGAAGTTGAGCGTAATGTGATACTTGGGTCACTAAGCCGAACCAAGATCGGATGTCTGTTATTGAGGATGGTGTTGGAAATGATCTAATGGCATCGATATATTTAGGTAGTGGTTCAACTCCATTTTCAGATATTCTGAAACCTGCAAAATCCACTATTCTTTTAGCAAATTGGAATTTTTGTGGGTTCAAAATGATCCCAGCTTTGCCAACAAGCTCAAGAAATTCGATTGTCCGCCACCAATGTTTGACTAGGTCGTCATCGTAGTGGATGGTGTCATCTACACATCTTTGTTTGCCAATAAAGTCTGCTAAAATTTCGTCGAAACGTCTGTTGTAGCCATCCCCACTAGATACAAAACCTTGAGGAGCTCGGATGTATCTGTAGCGCCCAAAAGGAGTAATGAAGGTGGTAAGATTCCTGTCTTCAACCCGTATCGGGATGCTATGATAACCATTCCATGCGTCGGTTACAGTTTTCCATGAATTTCTTGGGACTGAACGAGCTAGTTGGAAAGGCGATTTCATTGCATGAGTTTCTCTGTAGCAGTACTTGTTTAAAGGAGATAGATCAACAGTGCGACGTTGATCGTCATGCTTACGTGTGATAACCATTCTATGACACCATGTTGTAGGTTCTCCTAGAGGTACCTTTTCAATGACTCCAAGAGTTTCATCACGAATTAAATCCTTTTCCACCTGGTCTTGCCAATGGATTGGTATGGTGGCTGGAGTAAATGCTGCAACTGGTTTGGCATTTTCTTGAATTAAAATACTTATTGGAGGTCCCTCCATATCAGGTAAAATCTGGTGTGGACATGTGTTGAATGTTGAAGCAGAGTATCTTTCAAGGAGCCACGCTTTCATCCGTTCGTTGTTTTCAGGACAGCAGACAAATGGAAGTTTGGTGGGTGCACCTGCTGGGAGACTTCTTTTGGGGCAATTGCACACGTGTGAGCTATTATTTTCACTGGATGTTTTGGTCCCTATAGTTATAGGGCCTGAGTTAATAGCTCCGTGGAGGGCACTGCCTATCTCTGGAAAGTCCTTAGAGATGATACCCAGTTGGGTCATTGCTTCTTTAGATAGGTAGAATCCGTTTGCGTCTGGACTTATATAAACCATTACTGCACATTCAACTTTGTGTCCATTAGATTGTCGTCCTTCGAGACGTAAAAGAATTGCACCATCTATACGAAATTGGGTTTTATTTGCGGCCGACATGCTATGTTTCACAGGTATTAAATTGTTTGCATTAAAGCCTGCACTGACAAACCCTTTCCTAGACCATAAGCAGGACTGTGCACCGGTATCTGTAATAACTTGTATATATTTTGGTATAATGGGAGGAAATGGAATACCAAATGCGACATAGTCTGATTTGTTAGTAGTCACACGCAGCTGAATTGTAGGATGAACAAGCAATTGAGCTGTGGCCCATCCATCATGGGTAAATATGTGATGGTTTATTCCTGTGCATGGTCGTTTCACATTGGTCTTCATTTGTGATCTAATTTTTTTATTTGAATGCTCAATTGCACTTAACTTTAACACAAGTCCGCCTGCCTCAGCATCTTTGGTTGCATTCGATTTCTTATCATTTGGGATGATTCTGTTGTTAATTTTAGAAGTGCGAGATCTGAGCTTCTTCCAACAGTCTAGACACAGCTTGTGGGGTTTTTTGTTCCATCCTCTGGATGTTTCTGTAAATAAACTGTAAGATTCTGAGCAATCTGGACATTTGGCTGTTATATTGGTCCCTTTACTTTTCTGTGTATTGCTCT